GAAGATGCTCATTAATGCGTTTGTTAAGCTGTCTAGTTGTTCACCCTATATAACTCTCTTCACAGGAGCAACTAAATTTATAGATACACATAGAAAAGGCACAGCTAGGTAGCTTATCTTTCACTTGAGCAATCATAATTGGTCGGCCAAAAATGACAAACAAAGGGTGGCGGTAGTATAAGTCCGTTTTATCGCTCTCGATAATCTCGGATGTAAGACTTCGCTAGCCACGTCCCCATTAAATTGCAATTTCATGAACTGCTGTTTCTTCCTAACTGTTGTCAGTTTCTCTTTATTGTACTTGGTATTCATGTGTCTCCTTACAAATCTACTAGGATAACCCATTTGGACCAACGTATTTTGGATGTATCCTAACTCATTTTCTAGGGAGTCATCTGTACAGATACGTCTTGCTCTATTCGTGAGCCATCTGACCAAATTGACTTTGTATCGGATTGGTACAAAACTGAGGAAATGTGTATATTGTTCTACAGATGTAGGTTTACTATAGACATCTCTCTTGAGTGAACCATCCTCTCTTCTGCTCAACTGGACGTCAAGGAGATGTAGTCTACCATCATATTCTTCTTCACAAGTGAAGATGAACGATGGATGTGCATCATTAAATTTTATTAACATTTCATTCTTGTCAGCTGTCACATCAAGAATAATAAATGTGTCATCAACATAGCGAAAGTAAGAATCAGTTTTATCTATTACTTGTTTCAATGGGTCATTTTCAACCTTAGCAAGAGTTTATCGTCTGACGTTGGGATCAAATCTTTTGTTTGTAGGAGGAAATTTTCAAACTGGATATCGTTATCAAGTTGGTTGACCTTATATCCTTGGTCACATAATCTAGGAATCAATGAGAGAGCTTATAACTGTAATTTATCTAGTGTAACACTTGAAAAATTATGGACGTACCGACAAGGGTCTGAAGAAAAATCCTTTTCAAGATTTTGACTGTCTAGTGATTTGCTAAGTTTCGTTCTCCTTTTCTCTGGTCTGTTTTGGCTAACTCTGTTGACATACTCCATGAAATCAAATAATAAATCCTCAGGGAGTTCATCGACCGCAAATTTCTTTGGCGGTGAATTCCTTTCTATATCTGTAATGTGAATTTTAAATTTATTCATTGAATTGTGTACATATACATAAATTATTACCTTTGTATTTCTTATCGCCACCTGCATAAACTTTATTATCAATATTTTTTATCATTATAATCATTATTACTAACTACGTTCAAAACATTTACCACATTATTATTATTATTATTACTATTATCTGATCCACAAAATCACCGTCATTGGTTAAAATTTTTTATACATAAATCTTTGTAAATTAGAGTAAAGCCTGAAGAAAATCTAATTGTTCGGTTATATGTCTTGTTCTTATATGTATACGTCTGTATATTTGCTTTGCTTTTCATATGAATTAGTACTATAATGATTCCTGAGATGAATGAAGTCAATCTTTAGTGTCTAGATGTAGTGGAATAAATTGTGAATAATTTACTGTGTAGAAATCTATGTATTGAGAATCTAGTATCATTCGTAAGTCGCTGATTATTAACGTATTTGTCATGACGCCTTACACTCCTGAGAACGTTCAAGAATGAGATAAAGCGCTCTCATTCATGCTGGGAGACCACACGCCAATACACACTGAGTGTTTTTGTTCACTTAAAGCATTTAAAGAGGAATTCCGCAATATAATTTGTAAATACTTTTTAACACTGCTGTCTACTTAATGAAATGTAAGTAGCATAAATACCATGTAACAATTTATTAGGCTATGCTGAGTTAATAGTTTAAAATACTTCTGTGACTCAGTCAATCTGAACGAAGAATATTCTTTTCAATAACTTCAGTTCAGGTCCCTACAATTATAAAATATAATATTTGTTGTCGTTACAGTAAGGCCGGTTATACGGTGGATACTTTTTTTAGTGTGGAATAACAGATTAGTTATGGGGTGTCAAGATAAATAGTAGTGTTTGTGTGACAAACTTGCTAGGCTGAAATCGATTACAAAATATTGTGAAATCGGAGACATAAAAAATAATAAAATAAAAAATGTATCCGCCGTATAACCAGTCTGATTGTAACGACAACAAATATTATATTTTATAATTGTAAGAACCTGAATAGAAATCATTGAAAAGAATATTCTTCGTTCAGATTGACTTTTGATTCATGATATGGGAATATTTCACACTATTAATTTTCTGTGACTATTATAATTATCATGCTTCATTAGTTATCAAGGCACTGTTAACTTTAACCTTGAAAACACTTCAAAATTGTCTGGCATACATGCATGGACGGATATTCCAAGATGGTGAAGTTATTTGTTCACTAATTAATGAAGGTCACCATCACTACATACGGTCACTCATCACCAGGTAAGGGTGATAATTAACTGCTAGAAAATATCGCGGGACATGAAAGCAAAACGGAAGAAGAAAGCAGATCTTTATGTGGATGGGAAAGCAGACAAGGAAATCCTCACGGTCTGCAAAGCCTTTTTCTTCCTCGCTTAATACGAAACACTAACACGATTGTTTTTTAGTAACGTTTAATAATAAAAATCACAATAACGGTGAGAACCCTTATCCAGTTAAAGTCTTGTAAGCAGTTAAGTAGGTGATAATTTATGCATGGACTGATTTTAGTAAAAAATTATTTAGAAAGATTTATCAAAACAGTTTACATGGATAAAGTTTAGTGTGTGTAATGCATAGAAATATACACTTATACATACTTGCGTTTTCACTGGAAAAGTTTGTGTTTTTGATCAGCTGATTTCAATAGTGTTTGGATTGTATAAAATTCTTGAACTAAGGTTTCTATTGGACTGTGGAATTGAGTAGCCTGGTTCATATCTGAAATGCTAACTGTTAGGTTTGGAGATGTGTAACTTACAAGTAAGTGAGTGGTGTGGTATTGCATTGCACAGATTTTCTAATGGAGTGCGATATTCATTTCATGTCATCGATGAGTAATTGTTCTTACACGTTTCTTAATCGATGTCGTATGTAATAGAAATTCGGAAAGTCGATCTCAAATCTAGTCACCAATAACAGAATGTTAATGTGTGCACCTGGAAATATGGTGAATCTGGCTTCGATTTTGAGTAATTTCATGGATGGATGTTGCTGAAAAATCCTAAACAAGAGTGTAGTAGCTATCTATACTGAGCCTGAGTTTTCAGTGCTTCTATAGTTGGTATTAGATTTAAAAAGGCTAGATGAGAATATATAGAAAGATTCATTTTGTAAACATCATACTATTCATCCAATTTATACGTATGAATTCAACACAGGATAATATAAGCTAATTTTTTTCCCATGAACTCTCTTCAAAAATTTCTGTTGTTTATTAGAAAAGTGTAATTTATCTGATTAAGTTGATGAGAATTCAACCATCGTTGGTGATGTTACGCATTTCGTCCCACTTGAAACTCGTTAACCAAATTTACCTGCATGTCAACGGAGACTCAGCATTTTGGTTTAAAATAATCAATCAACGGGAAATACAAATTAACTTAAACAAATAATAACCTATACGCATTGCATAAAAGGTAGAACTCATCACCAAACGGCCTAGTGGATAATGCTTTGTCATTTGAATAGATGGTTGCTGGGTTTAAGTCTTGATGGAAACACCATCACTCACTGCGGATGCAGGTACATCTAGTTGATGAACCACAAATAAGACAAAACGCACATCTTGAATTCTATCGCTGGTCACCACTCACCAAATGGCAGAAAAAAATCATGTTAGGAATGTTAAAATTAGTAAACACATATTGTATGATAAGAAAAGTATTCCCAAAAAAGTAAACTATTGGACAAATTATATAAACAGTTTAGTAGAAATGGAAAGTGAATAAAGTAAATGAAGAGACTGTTGAATTTTTAATTACGGGGAGAATATGTTAGACAGCACGTTTACATAGAAAAGAATAGAATTTAAAATATTAGAAGAAAAAAGTCTGTAGAAAAAGGCTGTGACGTACTCTCATAAATTGTAATTGCCAGAGTAGTGTAAAATTAACATTTGGATTCTTTGAAATAAATAGATTGGATTAGTAGCAACTGCTTCATCAAACATGATGATAAGGAAAGAAGTTATCTGATAACACAGAAGAAATGGAAAGTATTATGAACACTTCGAGCATATAGCTGAGCATGTTTGATACGCGCTTTATTCCTATCAAATGTAAGATAATGCATTTCAGTTATAATAAGCCACTCATAGTTTTAGAGACATGAAGTAAAGTTATGGAATACTGACAGTTTCAATTTAGTTTTCTGAGTCTTCTCAATCTTAATGGATTAGCTAGTGACAAAATGTCAACGCGTATACAAAAAGCTGTTTTGACATTTGTCGTCAATCCTGGCACTGGTATAGTATGAGCACTAGTATAGTATGTGCAGTACACACATGTAATTCATCAAGGTATAACACATAGAAACCACATAAGAATTTTTTAATGAGTGTCTAAGTAGTATTAAGAATCTGTACCCTGTACAATGCTGAGACTAGACAAAGAGCATCAACTGACGAAGGTAAATCGTTATGGACCTTCATCAATTACGGTTATCTAAACATAACGAAACGTGGAAGTAATCAAAGAAATTTCCGACTGCTGGTCTTGAAGATGGTAGAAAAATTATAGTTTTTAAATGCGTGTAAAATTTCCATGTTGAGTATAAAAAAAAGGGAGACGTATCAGGGAAAAAGGTTTTTTCGATGAATCATTTTCAAAAGCTGTACGATTATATTTATGTTCAAAACGTAAATTTATAAATACCAATGAAATAATGGTAATTATGTTTCAGAAACTGTTCTGCGTAATGTGTGGGATAATCTAGAAGAGAATAAACAGGTAGAGAATAAAAGGGGATGCTGGAACTATGTAATAACTGTGAAAAATGACCTAATCAAAAACTGAATGGAAATGGAAATCAGAAACTAGTAGAAATACGGTTAAGTCTGTATGAGAAGTGAAGCGTTATTCAAATAAAGCAAGAACAACAGTTTTTGCAGAAGAAGAAGTTGATATAGACTATCTGGATTTGTTATGGGAGTGTTTGAACTACTGTCAGCCTGAATAATTTCTAGAAAAAATTAAGAACAAGAATAAAAAAGGTGTGAACGGATGTTTCCCAGTTAAAATCGATAAATGGCGGATATAGAGTAATTAGTGTAGTACATATAATGAGACTCAATTACTTTATGACAATAACTACCTCAACCCCACCTGGATCGAAACCGTACCCACTAAAAGGCGGAGTAAACCATTTACATTATTTTAAATGGGAATAAGTCTTCTGATTTTATCAGTTTATCGTATTAATTCAACTGAAACTAAGATGCCATTCAACCTCATATCTATGTACACTCTTCATTCAGAGCATTTAGTTGAGTACTTGAAGGAATCTGACTCAAAACTGGTCGCAGTAACAATGGTTCATGTAAAGTATTACGTTGCTTTAGTCACATAAACTTTTAGTATATTTAACGACTCTGTCTGCTTGTATTTTATTCCAGTATATCACCATGCTGGAATATCCACTCCACCTAATTTAGCCTGAGCAACTGGGTAATGTCATCCTTCACATAAAGAGTGTGACTTATAGCCTGGTAGAAAGAAAATCTGTGCCGAGTAAGTGAGATAAAGAAATAGAAAAACTACATCGGTTTTTACATTATTTGTAGAAATATGTCAACATCAGCCACAGATTTTACGATTGCTTGAACAAATTATGGCACTCTGGTTTGCTGAATAACTCCTGTTTGCATTGTCATCTGATCAAAGGTCACATTTCTTCTCCTACTTCCAGAGTCGGAATTCAAATGCCTAACATATGCCATGGATATGCAATTCCAGTTTGACAACACTCTTTATCGCCAAACGCATGGTGTAGCTATGGGCAGTCCACTTAGCCAGGTTTTAGCAGATATATTCATGTCCAACCTTGATAAAACAAAGTTAAAGCATGCAATCGACAAAACAACTCCTTATTGCCTATATGTCAATGACACATTTGTAGTGTGCAACAATGAAAGTCATGCTTCCTACTTACTCAGATTATTCAACGACGCACATACCAATACTGAATTTACTATCGAACATGAAAATGATGGAAAGTTCCATTTCTTCGACATTACCATGTAACGCCTAGAAGATGGTAGTCTCCAGAAGTCAATTTACCGAAAGCCTACATGGAAAGGACAATACCTACATTTTAATAGTTTTGTCGAAATAGCTTTAACAAGCACTAGTCAAGACTCTATGCAATAGAGCTACGAGATTATGCTTTACAGAGAAATTAAAGGAAGAAGTGTTTTTCGAAAAGATGTTGAAAAGCAACGGTTACCCTCATAAGGTTCATTAACAAGTACGGAAGATCTGAAGGCTCAAATGTCAAGCAAATCACAGTGGGAAATAGACAATTTACATTCAACTTGATTTGAAAGGTGAAATTACTGCTATTGTCAACAGAAGACCTAGGAAGCCACTAGCCAGAGTTTATCCTGCAGCTAAGCTCGTTCCCGTCTATCAAACAACCTGCTCTTTGGTGCAATCAAAAATCGACAGATATCCTTATCATGTTAACTGCAACTGTATATACAAATGTACATGTTACACTGGAAAAACAGAAAGAATGGCATACACCCGATTTCATGAGCATGCACCAAAAAGCCTATGTCTAAAGGGAACAAATGGTTTAAACAGTGCCATCGCCAGGTATCTCATCGACACGAGTCATGAGGCGGACGTCGCGAATTCGTTCAAAATTATCAATAGGCCAAAGAGTTCCAACTCTCCTTAGGTTCGCCGAAACAATTTCCATCAAACGCCTAACACCAGATTTATGCCTTCAGAAAGAAGAGGTTATCAAGCTTTCCTTGTCCTGCCTGGTTACTGGATATTTTCATCCTATACAAAAGCTCAAACCCACGCTTTGTATACAAAAGAAATACGTCCAACCCCTGTCCTTGCCATGGCCATCATAAACAAGTAATTTTTAGTAATGACCATCCCATCGCCTTTCTTATCTAAACTTCCTGTTTATTCATGTTATTTCAAGTTTTTCTTAATCCCTGTTTACACTACCATATTTTCTTACCCGAACTTAGTGTTTATTTTGTCATTTTACTATTTCTACACATTTAATCCCTGATTGCATAAACAATTATTCATCACATTAGTTTTTATCCAAACATCCTGTCTATTTTGTTATTTCTACATTTCTAACCCCTAATTGCATAATGTCAGTCTTCTTAGTTATTTTAATGCTATTTTGTTTGTTTTATCCATCCCCCTGTTTATTATGGCATTCTAATTCCCAATTTTAATTTTTATTAATTTGACCCTTGACCGGATATTATTCTGGAACTTTCCCATCCATTTGATATAAATACACGAATGTACAGCCTAGATGATGACTTCGTCGAAAAGAAAATTTTCTTCGCTGCAACTGTCTTCTTATTTACTCCTATGACCCAATGTGTATATTCCGTGATTACGTAATGTCAAAAGTTTCCATTGTGAATAATTATTATTATTCGGGATAAAGTGGTTGTTATTATTATAAATACTATTTATACGAGTTTGACCACAGATTGATATCAGTTAGAGAACCACTGAAAACTAGGGAGTACTGAACAGCTGTTTCATCTTATTTTGAGAATTATCAGCAGTACGCATACACCGGGTTTCGAACTCAGGACCTTTCGGTTACAAGGCAAACTCGCATGCCATTCAGCCAATGGGACCCGATCCAATGGCCTATGAATTCCAACTTCTACCAATTCGTGCTTTAGGGCGGCCGCCACCCACTGGATGCGGACTACCGGTGATTCGCAAACTAGGATGAAACAGCTGTCCAGTACTCCCTGGTTTTCAATGGTTCTCTAATTGATATCAATCTGTGGTCAAACTCGTATAAACAAATGTAATCCTTACAAACCAAACTCTTGAAATTACATGTTATTATTGTATGTTTACATTGACTGATTCATTTTTGTTTCTAAAGGAACTCTGTGCAGGAGCATTAAAAGTGCTTCTGTAGATATACGTAATAATGACTTCGGACTGTAAGCAGCTGATTAGAAGCCAACGAAATAAATGATGGTACCAATTTATTCCGCAAAACTTTTGTTCTTGCTTTATTTAAGGTCACATTTCTATATTATTCTCGACCTGACTGACACAATTAATGATGTCCTGTTGTATATATCACATCTCCAGAATGAGATGTAGCTACATCCTCGCATAATGGTGTAGAAGCCTAACTCCCCTTAAATCGACTTGAATAATGCGCAATTCAGGAAATTAATCTTAGTAGTGAACAATGGGATGCAGTTAAGTTGTGAGGTTTGCGAGGACTAGACAGATTTTCCAAATGAGCTTCATAACAAACTGTTAAAGAAACAGCTGTGTAGTGTGCTATGCCTTCGATAGTTCTTGAGTTGATAACGCTTGTTGATAAGAAGAGATATAGAAAATTTGCAATACTCTGGAAACCTTTAACAAAGCTCTATTCTATGTTCTTCGAACAAGTTGACCCTATCTTTTTTTATTTCTCTGAGATATATTTAGCTAACTGCTTTTCATGTTCAATGGCATCCGCAAAACTGATGAAAAATAGACTTGTTACCTTGAAGAAAATGTTGTCTACTTGTTAAACTCATCAGCAATGCCCAACAAGGCAGTACTGTATATGGGTCAGAGACTAGGTGTGTCGCAAAAATCATTTTCAGCAGGCTACTGAAGACTTTTATCGACAGCTGTCTTCGATCCATACTGATGATCAGATGGATTGAAAGGATTAGCAGCAAACGAAAGAACCCGCTATTCCCAACAAATACGCCGAAAGAAATCGAGATAGATCGGACAGACACTGAGGGAAGCATTGAGTGATATATTGCGCCAGGCCTCCGAAAAATACCCGAAAAGGAAACGAAGAGCTGTGTGCGTATTAGAGGATGACATGGAGGTGATCCTGTTGTGTTCTCTGAGCTGGATGGTTGATTTGCGAAGCTTTCATCACCCTACTAGGTGACATCTTCAGCGCATACTTCAAATTGAAGTATTTGATGTATTTCTTCCACAGAGTGAGGTTGCTAGCCTAACACCTAGGCTTCTCTAATTGAACACGGAAACTCTTTTTTATAAATAAATGCAAAAGCGCAAAATAAACATATTTAGGAATACCTGATTGTGGTGATAATGACAGTCGACTGAATTCTTTGCTTCGAAATAATGGTTCACTGGCTGATGTAATTGATGATTTTGAACGTACAGGTGCGACTGTTGAGGATGAAGCTGTGCTGCTAGTGGTGAGAATAACTGTTTCAACCGGAGTAACAACAACTTGTTTTGGCACTTCATATGGATCTTCTACTTTCTTGGAGAGCTTTTGTAGATGAGATTTCTTCGGAGGTAAAGGCGGAGGAGGAGAAAAAGAGGAAGACTGTGCAAGTGAATTTCTTCTATCACAATTATAGGACAATCCGTCTGGTGAATCGACAGTGAACTCATTAATTAACTGATCAGAAGTTCGAGAATCTCGGTTGTTAATAGAAGTCTCAGGACTATGAATAACTGTTTTACTTAGATCAATACAAACAGGTGATGAAGGGCTAAAGAAAAAGGCAATAAATAGTATGTAAATTACGGTGGACGTATTGTTAATATTATATATATGGGCGAAAAGAGAAATTTCGAGTTACTATAGCTATGATTTCTGATTACAATTATGTTAAGAAGATTCAAGTTCCGCACACACTCCGTATCAATGGTGAATAATTTCGAGCAAGCAGTTTGCATTGTTGAGATCACAAAGGCATCATAAATACCTCGAACTGTAACCCAAAAGTCTAGAATATGCTTAATTTTTTGGATATCTCCAACCTACAAGGCCATTTCGTCTACACACACTCTAAGCCTACCAAAATAGGTCGTAAAGAGATGTCTGAGCTTTCAACGTAGAATTACGCACACAAGAACAGTAGTTCAACTTGTCACATTTCATATAGCGCATAAAGATAGAGAAAAAATCTATAATGACTATAATGAGCAAACATAGTGATACACACATTGACCAGGTATTAGTTTTCAGGAGAACCGAACATACCTACCTCTTTCGAGACTAGACTGATGTGCAGTCGGCAACAAGTTATTTTATAATCCGGGAATTTATAAAATAATGATAACTAAGGAGAATTGAGTGGCTAAGCAGAATTACGTGAGAACACCAAGATGCAAACTAGTTAATTAAATTACCTAGTAAAATAACACAGTCAGGAAATAGTTACAGAGGAAGGGGGAAATCGTTTGTAAAACTTAATAAATATTATGGAGTCGGTCATAACAAGGAAGGAGCTGCACGAATTTCTTTCGAATGCAAGTTTGGATTCTTCAGATGAATTCTGATTGCCTCCGCTGGATGTAGAAGTCGTACCCACAGATCATGCGAGAGGTTGTGTGATATACGATAGATAACTCTTAAAGGCTTTGTTAGAGTCAACCTGATGTCCAGTATCGACGAGATGCGTTAGTATTGAACTGCAAACAGCTTTGTTCGAGTCTTTCCCAAACCAAGATGGGAGGTGTTCAGAAATTCGATGATAAATTCACCTGATCGTAACGCCCAATGTTACTAGCTCCACAGGAGCGGTTAAACTGGTAAATACACATGGAAGAGGCGAAACTGGACAGTTTATCTTTGTTTTGTGAACTGATTATAGGTTCGCTAGTGAATAAACAGCGTAAGTTGGCTGCGTCAAAAGTCATTTTGAACACCCATATCAGATGCTGTCATAAAATCTCAACAATACTACCTCTCGCGAATTGTAATTTTATACATGTAAGCAACACCTTCACACTTATGGGGGCTTTTATATGATAACAGTTTGAAGGTTATTAACGTTGTGATAAAATCTTATTCTTAAAATCTCCCCTAAACTGCAGTCTTAGGAACACTGATTTTTTCCGAACAGTGGGCAACCCTAGAGCCTGTTTGCTTGTGTAAATCCATGTGTTATTTGAAAAGATTTGCCGGATACCCGTCCCCAATTTATGTATCACAAACAATAACACTTTGCTTCACTTTCTCTCCTCAAACTATAAATTTATCATTAACATAACAATAATATAAATCAATAACACCTCTAAGTGTTCACGAACAATTTGTTATCATATTAAACCTATCTTGGTGAATTTTGTATTTACAGGAAGATTGATGTGCTATTGTCACCCACTTTATTCTGGTTTATTGATTTGCATTGTTATTTTCACCTTCACAGCATAGCCATTTAACTTGACCTATGTCGATTCACTCACACCTAAAAGACTAACGATTTTTTCATATAAATTCCTACGACAATCACATGAGAGATCAGATTATTCGAAGTGTGTTGCATAAAAATACACAGTACATAATGTACATAAATTACGTCTGCTTATTGTTTTGCCGAAATTCATAAACGGAACTAACTGTTTCAGATTATATATTCGTATTTGAACACAAAGGATACCAAATCTAATTCTGCCAGGCGGTGGGACATTGGTATCCATCTGACTAGAAGACAGACTAGTTAGATGACCAACAGACGTATAATCCTATAGAGCTCTTCACTAATGCGCATCACTGTATAAAGTCATCTGCATTAGTACTTTAATATCAGTAAGAGTTTGACAAACTATAGTGAAATCCTTCGACGCCTTCGTTAAAAATAGACGGGACTATATATATTTTCAAGTATTGGTTTTGTAGGGATTTTGTTTGATTGCATGTGGATATTCTTAGTATGCATAGAAATTTTCCATACTTTTATGTACGCATAAAAGGCAAAACAATTATTTTGAAGAGGATCTCACATATATACAGGATATGTACATGTATACTTATGCATATATGCCATAAATGTGTGTCAATGGAAAAAAATCACAGTGAGCATTACAGCAGATAAACACAAAAGTACAGATTAAAAATGTACACACTTAAGTAAAGTGCTAAAAGAGAGTAAATATCATTTTTACATGACTATCGATAAGAAAAATACAGAAAACAACAGAACAGAGTGACTTAGCACTCAAAAAGTCTATTGGATTCATGATTAAACTTGTTCATCAGTTACTTTTTTTGCTCAGTTGAATATTACAAAAAAATCCAAATAGAATAAAACAACATATTTAAGGAATAAAACAATTCCAACAGTGGTGTGAACACGGGCAGTAATTTTACTCAAAATATTGCCAATAAAAAAACTTATCATTGTGTGTAAACTACTGAAATATAATTATACTTTATTTAATCTAATCCACAATGCTCAAACTTTTTACTGATATTAACATAAATCAACTTTGAACTAAGTGGACAAAGTATTAATGGTCAGAGTTTTCTCCTCATTTATTGTCACCAAATGCACAAACGATAAGTGCAAAGACATATCTATAAAACATTGAGAACATTTCTAAGAGTATGCACCACTGTGATACGAAAAACTATAGACACTGAAATCTCATTGAATACTTGTGTCTATTAAGCATTAGCAGTATGATATCATATGTGACTAGTATGTCGTTGATGCAGCGACTCAATGATAATAATTCAGTGCACTTCAACACATAGTTCTACTGTAAGAGTGGGAGACACCATGAATACAAAAGTGCCTTAGATTGTCCAAACTTCTGTTTTCTTCTACCCAATTATACTCCAGTCATCGTCGCTTCCCTTCGCATCCCCAAAACATGTTTAACATACAATGCCAATTCAAAATCACACAAGCTGCAAAAATCCCTATTTCGAACTATAAATTAGTACAACACTAGAATTATGTAGGAGGCTGTGAACCAGTTAGCCGCTAAAAACCATCACAGATATGATGACTGACAAAAGCCTAAACTTGCTACTTGAAAATTGGGCGACTACATCGATGAGGCACAGTCTGACGTTCAAAACAGCTAACATAAACATTTCAAGTAATAAGCAAGCCTTACACATAAAAGACATATCCCTAATATTATTTATTGAAAATAAACGAGTGAATACCCACATCACCACCACCCGCAACAAGCACATCACTAGCAATAAATTATACTATTCCATTACAAGTTTGTTTATTAGACTACCCTCATAGATAAGTTTAAGAGTTGATAATGCTAAGGTGCAATTTAAGATAAGTAAAATAAGTAGAGCGTAGTAGTAGTTGTTGTACGAAGAAATCCGTTGCGAATCACGTGAAGGATATTTAGAATTAGCTTCTGATGCATAGGTACAAACCCAGTACAACCTATTTACGTATGATATACAATTCATCCCTTTACGTGCTTTGTTTGACAGAATCAAAATTATTACAATTTGTTAGAATAAAACGTTGCTAGCCAAAATTGGTAGACAGCAATTTACGTCAATGTTTGCGTCCCATTTCTTGGTTATGAGAAAAAACAAGACCAAAGAACCAACTCAACAAACAATTACTACAGACTTTGCATGAGCGGATACGATTAGCAGATATATGGTCTGACCATCAAAGAAACTGCCACAAAGAGAAAACAGAATAACTTTCAGCGAGAAAACAACTAATCAGAAGACGCTGTTTCTCTGTCAATAATAACGAATAATAATGTACGTAGAAATCTACAAATATCTGTTGATTTCCACAGTAAACGATCTATTACCTGACTCTCGCCTTCTGCCATCACGTCTCGGTAGGTGGAGCACGCTTAGACTCTGTGACACGCTGGTTGACATTTGAGACACTAATCCTACAAGTCACCAACTGTGGTTAGAGTTTGGTTACGCCATTGGTTAGAAATAGTGTGCCAACTCGAACTTCTACACATCTGTGCGAAGTTCTACTTTCAGACCAGTCAGTCACCAGGAGAACCCCACAACGAAATACGAACGCACGTAAAATAACATTCGACTTCTCTTGAAAATCTAATTACAATTATGTAATTTTTGATTACAGCTTGATTCCACACCGTATTTTTGGTATAAGTGTGGAATTTTCAGCGTGGATATCGGTAGCCCAAATTTTGCAGGTCGACCATAGATATCAGGTGTGCGTCGGCAGGGGATCGAACCACGGGCCATGTGCATGGCCGGCGAGAGTCCTAACCACTGTGCCACCAACGCACACATGTATGATGTCCAGCAGCTTATGAATTACACATGATTTGCAAGAATTATGTTACCACTGAATTTGACGGGTATTTTAGAATCCTCATTTTGCAACTGGCTCCACAACTATCCACAAGCTCCAATTTCCTCATCACATGGTCTCCAACATGTCACCTTTGGACTCAGAACTAACTCATCGCTCTTTATTTCGGTCGCGCCTGAGGTCCCGGTCAGTGTATGATGTCACTCAGCAGTCTCCTTAAGGTATGTCCAATCCATCTCCATTTCCTTCTGCATACACATTTCGCTCAATAGACTGTCGGTTGGTCTACTGTCTGCCACAATTTCTATATTTTGTATACTTTCTGGCCAGCCATCTGATCTTCAGTATCCAGCGAAGTGGGCAGTTTTGGATGGAACTCTGTGGACTGTTAGAAATGCTTTGGGTGACATGCACATTAAGTCTCTGAACCATTTAGAAGCATTGTCTTTATATTAGTGTTGAAAATCCGGATACTGTCCATCGTGCCAAATCCCGTAGATTCCCACAGTGATGTCGGAGTAATGAACCCCCCTGTCTTGAACTCCTGATGCTCGCTGGCTACGACATTTCATCAGTGCTGCCTGTAGTTCAAACGATGCTGCTGAAGCGAAATAAACGACTTCCATTGGGTCTCAGTAATACATAGATGTGCTATAAAATGAGTATCTCACGAAATCATAAACAAATAATTAAAAGGAACATAGGATATTGAATGTTGGTGTGCAACAAATAATTTAGTCAGTTACAACTTGTCAAATAACGAAAACAGAAAACACAGGGTCTCAAAAAATTTTGATTTACTAGAGGTAATAATGATTATAAAAAATAATACCTCAGGGAAGCAGAGTTAAAAGGTTAGTTCCGGAATTTTTTATTTTTGTACTCACCCAACTTATTCTTATGGAATAAAGTCAAACGTACATTATCAATATAAAGAGTGGTACAGTATATTATTATTTATTATTGTCTCCTTTGGTTCCTAGAGGAACATAGGCCTACAGCCACACGTCACCATTGCGTTCAGTTCTCCTCCAACGTTTCCACCTGGCTCCACGTCTGTGCACATGCTTTCATCTCCTCCTCACATAACCTCCTCCATGTCACCTCTGATGACCAACTTGCCACTTCCCGTTCGGGTTCCACTCGAGCGATGACCTGTCTTGTGATGTCACTTGATGGTTTGCTTTCTCAGAGTGTGGCCAATACACTTCCATTTCTTCGTGCATATTTGTTGCACAATCGGTTCCTGCTGGTTTGGTTCGCTCTCATAGATCCCAGTTGTTAGTCTTTTCTGACAATCTGATTTTGAGTATTGAGCGAAGACAGCTGCTGATGAAGCTGTGTAGTTTGTTCGAAGCGCCCTTCGTGACGCGGCGCCAAGTCTCTCATCCGTATAGTAGCACTGAATTCACATTGGAGTTGAAAATCCGTGCCGAGTGCTGTTGATCTCCATACAGACTTGAGAGAAATGAAAGCTTGCTTTGCTTTCCCGATCCCCGCTTTGATATCCCCATCAGTCCCGTCCACCTGTAGTTGAATCGATGCTTCCCAGATAGACAGGTAGGCAGGTTGGTTGATTGGTGAAGGAGGTTGTTTCTTTCAGATTCCTCCCATTTATGCTGGCTGATTGTTGTCTGTTGTTGTTGCTGCTGCTGTTGCTATGTCTTCTCTATGTTCGCCTGAATTCATATCTTTCTTTGATGTTTTTTCTGCCAACTTGTTGCTTTTCACTTGCACATCTTTCGGTTTGTGGGAAATCAGACATATATAAGGGGCAGCAAATTTATCAGCATATATATAAATATATATTGCCTATATGAGGATGTGCGTCGGTGGCACAGTGGTTAGGACTCTCGCCGACCATGCATATGGTCCGGGGTTCGAGCCCACACCGGCGCACACCTGATATCTAAGGTCGGCCTGCAAAATTTGGGCTACCGATATCCATCCTGAAAATTCCATACTTGTACCAAAAATACAGTGTGGAATCAAGCTGTGAATAAAAATTAAAAATTAAAAAAATTAAAAAATTAAATTAAATATATCATCGGTGAAGTCCAGATCTTCCAAGTTTTTTGTGTGAGTCCGTTTTATGCCTGTCTCCTCGTTGCCCGCTGTCTGTCTGTCGCATTATCTAGTCTACCATAATCAGGAAATCATTGGAGATAGTAGGAAGCCAGCTTGTCTTACTCCCGTCTTCACTTCGAAGGATTCCGTGAGTTTCTCGTTGTGCATTACTTGGGATGCAGCATTGTCGTACAACTGTTGGATAAGATGTATAATTGTTGGCGGCAACCCGTAGTAGCGAAATAGTTTCCAAATGACCTCTCGATCGACGCTGTCGAAGTTCTTTTCAAAGTCGATGAAGTTGAGCGAGGTAAAGAGCTAACTGCCATTCCAAGCTCTGTTTAATGATGATACGTAGTGCTGTGATTTGATAGATGCATTATTTGTTCCCCCTGAATCCAACCTGTTCCGGTCGAAGTTTTTCATGCAGATTGATGTGTTTGATTCTCTCCAAAATGATGGCTTAGTATTTTGCTTGGGATAGACAGGAGCATAATGCCGCGCCAGTTCTTACATTGACTTAAGTCTCCTTCCTATGGCGATTTGAATAAGTAGCCTTTCTCTCAATCCGCAGGTACCTTACCATCTTTCCACGCCCTCTCCACTAGTGGTGTCATCAAGTCCGCCAACGTCTCGGGGCCATTTTCAATGCCTCTGCTGGGATTCAGTCTGGTTCTGCTGCTTTTTCAGGTTTCGGCATCTTGATTGCCTTCAGAATTTCTGCTTTTGTCGGAGTGTTGATGTCCACTGGTAGTCTTGCTTTCGCTGCTGTTAACAAGCAAGTTAATAAATACGGACTTTGGCTGCTAAATGTGGTATGATATCCTTAGCGTAGCAGTAAGCCATCTGCTATAGAATGTGATTTTCTATGTACCCGCTTGATACTTCGTTTTCAAATACTTATTTTATTGTAGTCTTTGAACTCCAGGTTGATGAGGTGGTAATCTTTTAATCTTCAGCGACTTCAGCTTTTGCTCCTTATTTCTGTCAATAAATCTAGATTTATGTCTTTTTTGCAATAAAGTTTTACGTAGATATTTTGATTCACCCTTTAATACATCTTTCAACTAGGTTTTTGGAGTCCTTGAGTATAAAGAACGTACCAGGGTCTGTTTTCTCACCAGTGAGAAATTATATTAACTGTACAGATCATACTGATTTGCAGCATATTTTTCTTTGATTCGAGTATGTTTAGAAATGGAGAACACAGATTTAATTCTTGTTGTAGTACGGATTTTATCGAAGAGTGTGCTACACTGAAAGTGTTTAGGGGTGTGTCTAGATTTAATTTTTTAAATCAAATTATATAAGTGTTATCTAAATATCTTTTGTAAAGGTGCGCTCGACTGATCAGAGAGTCGAGGATGTCGTTTTCATGATGGTTATGAATGCTTATTGGTTAAACTGGTCTTCTTCTCGTAGCATTTCACCTTCTATTCAATGTAATACCTGCTTCTGTATTATTTTGCATGTTGTTTGCAGTGAGGCGACTAGAAGTGATACATCTTTGCTTAAAATTCTGCGTCATTCACTTGTATGAAATATACATGCACATTAGATTACTACAAGGAGAGATTCATTTGCGGAAACCTATTTCTATTTTTTAACAAATTTAAATGAATTCTAATTAAACTGTTTGATATTTTGCATTTATTTATATTATTTATTTTTATTCAAAAGAAGAAATGAGTCTGATTTAAATTTTACTTTTGCTTCATTTTTCTAATACCTTGATCAGTATATTTTTTATTATTAAAATGTTATTCAAATAGACCGTATTATTTTTGCATTCATGAATATCTATTCAGCATGATTTGTTTTAATACCTAATACTGGTGTTCTTGAAATAAATTATATACTTCTGCTTTTTTGCTATGCCATTTTGTGTTTTGTTCGCCCTCCTTCTATTCTTTTGTGTGTGTGTGTGTGCGTTCAATTTCGTCTATTCAGAAACATTGTACAATGAATTTATACGAATGATTCGAAAATTTCTTAGTTTTATTCAAATGGTGTAGAGAGAATGAACACTAACAACTTAATATTTTGAAATGTAATTTTTTCCTTTCACTTGCCGAAATTTTGAGATATACATAATAATTTGTCTACTGAATAATGCTGATATAATCACCTTTAAAAATTAAAAATGAATTAAATTATTCATAATAATTTTATCCTTCTCATTTATTGAAAGGCTTTGAAATAAAAAGAATTTAATAAGAAGAGCAACGGTTGGGAAGTTATTCATCTTTTTGATCTCTTTCAGTGGACAACCTGTCTGATATGTATCCATATATATATATATATATATATGGTGGTCTCTCTTTCTGTTGCTCTCTTAGTCTGTGGCTATTTCACTTTGATGAACCTGTCTCCTTTAACAATGTATATTCCCCTTATAGTATATTATATGTGTGTTTGTTGACAGTCTGACCTTGGTGATATATATCCATATAATATGTGTGTTGTTGACATGTCTGCTATATTTTGCTATGTATATATGGGCCGATACTCCATTATAATTAACCAATCATGTTAAGAATGTCTATTGATTGTTCACACACTTGTTTGGATATTCATATATATTTTGCTCTCACACTACTGTGTGATATATATTTGGTTCTTCTTGTGTTTGGAAAATAGAAGTATCATCGCAAACCTAGTGGTCTTCTGATTTCCGTCTTTCTTGCGTCAGGACTATTAAATTCTCGACCAGTACATAACAATAATTTGGCGACGAGTACATAACACTGTCATCAGTTAAAGGGTATTAGTGGTGAAACTCCTGTCTTTGACGGTTTACGAAGCACATATTAATCTTCATTAAGACACAAGTTTTGCCTGTGAAAGAAAATAAAGGAGGAGTTAAAATACCTTGTCTTTCTCATATGTAGTATTTGATAATGAATGGTGGACATGGTTGGATAGGGTTTGGCTTAAAATACTACATGTAACATTTTATCATTCTAACTTTATATATATATATATATACTGTAGCTGTTTGGCAGTGTCTTTTATTTTATTATTGGTTGTCAACCAAAAATAAACGCTGAGGCTCTATTAAATAGACCACTAGAATGACGACAACCAACTGTTGTACAACTGGTACTAGCTATTATTTGTTTAAGTCACTTTTGTGTTTCTCGTTAATTGATTATATTCGACTGAATTGTTCGCCCTATGTTGACATATCGGCTACTGGTAGAGACGCTTCGATGATGTTTAAGGATTAACATGGTGTTAATTTGGGGGATGGTAGCTAGCAGTGAAATCCAGGATGCGCATTTCGTTCTATTTGGTGCTTATCACCCGGATGTAACTATTATCTCCACCATCCACCAAATAATATTGTTTTAGTACGTAAACATCTTAAAAGCCTCTGAACCAGGACCCAAAATGTTAACAGAGACCGAACATTTCAGTTCAATATAGTCAGTCAACGCGAAATGAGACACTAACTTGAACAATGAATCACTGCAACTATTATAAACTCACCTACTTATATATATATATATATATATATTTATATATATTAAAATTATTGTTTTAATCTATCACAGTGTAATTCAACGTTAATTACAGATCGCCTACATTTTCGTGTTTATCTAATCAACACTGTTAATTCATACTTATTTGTTCTGTTCGAGTAAACAGTCTTATCTGAATGAATACATAACAATTGTTGTGTAATATTATCTATGATTATTTGCCTGACAGTTATAATTATTGTTTTTATTAGTTAGATATATCAATGGCGGTAAGATTAAATAAAGTGAATATCCTTTCCTGAAAATGATCCTGAATGTAATCAATATTATTTCTTGAGAGAAAAAGATAAAGAAGGGGAAATTAGCTGTAATTCTGATAATTGTTTCTTCCCTGACTATTTTTTGCTTTTAACTGTCACCTCTCAAGGTCGTGGTGGCTGAATTTAGTGAAAACAAAGAAAAAAATTGTGGTGAAAAGAGGAGAAAAAGTACCCTAAGAAAAAATATTTTCTCCATTGCCCTTGTCCGGTTATATCTGGTGGTTCGAGAACGGTTTTATTATTACTTCTTTGTATTTCATTTTGTTTTCCCAGTATAATAACTCGCTAGGACGGATCAACTAAGAATTCCATAGGGAAACGGAACGAAAACCGAAAGAGAGGAAATTAAATTGATGCATATGAATCACAGTTTGTAAGCTGTGTTAAGTTATAACAGTGAAATGACTTAATGAAAACGAATCAATAAAATCCGTTCAAGCCAACACTTCGGAATTAATCTAGTACTCAGTGGTGACTGACTACAAAATGAAGTTGACTGAATTGATAAATGCACATTGAACCTGCCATGGAAGATATAGTTGATGCTGATACATTCACTTACCTTACCAAATCCACGAATTCATACGTATCTTTCGAGGAGTGCTTCACCATTATCTTCCTTACAAGTCCCAAAGTTTCTGCAAACCATCGTACTGCCAGATAATAGGATAATCTGGACTTATCTAGGATTCGACGCAGGAGTACCGCTCCCTTTGTGGATTTTAGGCAGGCCATATAAGCTTGAAACTGATGAACCAGACGGTTGAATCATCCCTTAAGTCTGTGAGCTAATATTTTTTATAGCTTGATTTAACACAGCACTTTTGATACAGTTATAAAATTTTCGGCATGTGATATCTGTTTCATTTTCAGAAGGACCTTTGTTAAATTGCTTATAATTTGTTCACTGTTGTCTTTCCCCTTAATCTAGTTTGAAATTCTGTCATCACTGAGAATTTTACTCATCTTTAGAATATAGTCTGATCTGCCCGGCAAAACTACTCCACTGCCTTCAACTGGACTCGTAATGATTGCAGAATAATTGTTTTAATTCGGTGGTGTTCTTCAGTTAGGCATTGGTGTGGTGAATTCTGTTAGTTAAAAAAGTGACACAGGTTTTTAAACATAATCTGATCTTTTTAACCGGACACAAGTCAGTAACTAGTGTAATGTGTCTAGTCCTATCTTTGGTGCAGACTGAATTCTATCATTCAAGTTGGTAATGTGGCCACCATGCTAGGTGGCTCGCCAACACGGTGCGCTATCCAACCATCCAACAATCTAATACCAACAATTCATAGTGCACCAAGATTGTGGGCCACCTAGCATGGTGGCCGCATTACCAACTTGACTGGTAGTATTCAGTCTGCAGCAAAAATAAGACTAAACACACTAAACTAGTTACTGACTATTTTCCAATCAAAAATATCCAATATGCTCTTACAGGAAGTTAGCTGCAAACCAGAATAGCCCAGTGGTAACGTCTTTGACTGCAACACTGGGGGGAACGCATTCGAGTCTAAGAAGGGACATAAGTTCCTTGAAGGTTGCAATGCGCCATGTTGACTGGCGAGTCCCAACTTGCCCGAAATCTTGGTTCTGGGCTTCTTGCCGACCCTTCCAAACACCTAATACATATGTATTAGGTGATCTGTCCAGTAACAATATTTCGTGAACAGTAATCTATACTTTGTGTTCAGAAACGTTTTATATAGCCTCTATTACTACCTTGAACCTTACTGCTAATTTTGTTTGCCTGAATAGGTGCATAATAAACTATATGTAGTCTTATTATTTTTGAGTTTTTTGACTCCGTTTTATCAGACCCTTGTTTTGTTATTTCTCTTTTCCGAACGATTATTCATTACTTGACTAATTAGTAGCCATCCTCCTGAATACGTTAGATTATTGTCCGTTTTTCGAACATTGTTATTATTCAAACACTTTGATATATTTCACTAATAACTAACAGTAACGTTTGACCTCTTCTGTCAGTTAACATTGCACGTATAAAACCCTAAATGACCTTTCAGCTTTGCAGTGAAGCTGTGAAAAGACATTTCTTTGCTAACATACATGTTTCCTGACTTAATCTCTATGTTTTTCTATTGTTTGCTTTCGGATGTGATGACTGTATATATACTACCCTGGTAGGGTTTGAACCTGGGACCTTCCGTAAACCGTTAAATCACTGGGACCCGACTGAATGACCTAAGAATTCTCACTTCTACCAACTGGTGATTTTAGAGTAAGTGTCATCAGCCAATGTCACAGCTGGCGAGTATTTGTCCTCACTTCAAACCAGATGAACTCCACTGGTCACAACTTCCCACTAGAACTCCAGACAACTGCATCCTATATCCCAGTGGGTGGGCACTGTTGATTAGCCCAAGGCTTGGACAAAACTGCTGTTCAATACTCCCTAGTTTCCAATAGTTTTTCTAACTGATATTAATTCGTGGTCAAACCTGAGGCAAATGAAATTCCTACAAACGAACTCTTGAAAAGTATTTCTGTTTATTACACCAAATAAAACTACTGTAACATGATTTTATACTCTATCCTAGTTATATTCATATATCAGTAGGGCTATCCTTCTTCATATGAATATCACTGTTATAGTTAGACCCTTCTTATGTATAAAATTTACATTAATTTACCAGGAG